CAGTACAACAGGTCATCAAATGGTCGCTAAAAGTATTTTTACCTGTTATATCAGGTAAAAATAGTTTCGTTACCATAACTACCGTTACTTCAGACTTTTCCGCTAAGAAGAATGTGACTTTAGTAGATTCTTAATGGACGTGGAATAGGCAGTTGCAGCAATAAAAATATCCAGAGGAGATATATAATACTCCGATTAACCACAATTTAACGTTTGTCAATTATTTGGAGAATCAAGTCTAGTAAAACTTAGGATATTTTATGCATTTTGTCCTTCGTCCATAGTTCCTACAGGCTATCCTCTTTTTCATCTAGTAGTTGCCATTTTTCTTCTAGAGAAATCTAAGAGAGCAATTTTGTATCTCTGTGCGAATTGAACCAGTTAATTGTAAAAACTTGTGTAACTTGGCAGTAAGGGGAAAGAAAGTGATAAAAATCGAAACAAGTTGTATTGGGAGAAAGAAAAAGTTTCTTCTAATCATCAAACAATCTTGAATTTCAATTAGAATGAACTTTTTGAAGCTTCACAATGTACTGCATGCCCAAAAAGAAAAACGTATGGTAGCTCAAGGAAATTTTATAAGTTCTGCAAAACCTAACTCTTTCATTAAATATATATATATATATAAAACAAACAAAGTGTTCTTGCAATAACATGTGACGAGGAAACTTTTGCTCAAAAAGGAAATGAACAAAATGTTTGTAACAAGCAAACAAATTGAGTAATTCAGAATGTCATGAAATTCTGTTATGAAGTTGGGTAATCAACAAGTGATTAGAGGACCAGCTATATGAAATTTGATATGAGAAATCAAAATCACTAAAAAGGCCTAACAAGGCTTTCTAGACAAACACATGCAGTTAGGTTTGAGAATTCATAATGGTTCACACGTAAATCTAAACCACTCTTGTCTGCAATATCAACGAAGGAATTTTTTTTGACTGTCATAAAGCACAAGCTTCCTGCTATTAACCTCCAAAAGTAATTGCTTTTTGTTCCTTGAACATGCTACTGGCTTTATGTGGTGCCATAATATCTGCTCATGAAAAGGGAATTTTAGGAAAGTTAATAGATTCCGACGTGATTCATCAATTCTGTAATCCTCCATCAGTGAAATATAAGCACATCTCCGATGATCATGGGCAAAGAAGTAGGAAACCAAGCAAATGCAACCATCCAGGACCCACAAATCATAATCCCGACGACCTTCCAAGTAAGGGCAAGGCATCATGCGAAATTCTTCGCTGCTAAGATCAAAGGCAAGAATGTAGCCTACACAGTAAAACCAGTGTAATGCACCATTAACAAGAAGTCCATCCATGGGTTCCCGAAAGGGATTCTCAAATGGAAAATCACCTATTATTTTCCATGAATTAAGCTTTGAGCTATAAACATAAACCTCATGACTCGAGAGGAGTTGACCAATCTTGGTCGAAAATACTCCAACATTTCATGAAAGCAACCACTTTGTAGGCATCATTAACAGGGTCAAACCCAAATCCCAGACGAAAATTGACTCTACAACCAATCAAATTTTCATAAGGAGGAGAGGGTAATTTACGGTGCTTTTGAGTCCATGGATTGGATTCCATAAGAAAATGTCCGACTCTGAAGCTAGCAAACAAAGAAGGCCATTGCAAGAGCCTGCTAAACGAACATGATATTCAGAGAGCTCTATAGGGCAGTTGAGTTGCTTAGCATGCAGAATGGAGCTACAAGAAAGATCTGAATCTAAAGTGTAAAATTATCTACTTTCAGGGCGAGTAAAAACCGAAGCGTTCAACCAAGGCAATAATCTTAGTATCATCATGATGATAGTTTGTTTGAAGGTGGTTTTTATTCAAATAATGCATTTTGATGAAGTGTGGGTCATCAATTAAAGAACGCCATGATTTTGATACGCACCGGGAGCGAATTAGAGAATCAAATGGTAACCTCAAAAGCACGTTGACAAGCACATGGTCAGGGATATGGTCTGACATTTTACCAACTGATAGTGATTGCTACAAAGTAAGTTGTCAGTCAATTGGTGGCTTAATTCGCGTCGGTGAGCCTCCTACCTCAGAGCATGACAGGATGTTATCAAAGCAAATCAGTTTAGCCTCTGCTGCACGGAATAAGACTGGATATATCGCGAATTTGGTGATCCCAACTGGAGTATATAATGTTGAGGAGTATTGGTTGCAAGAAGATTGAAATGATGTAACTAAAAGCAAGACTATATTGGGTCTAGGCTTGCCTTAACAGTTGACAGTAGCTTCAATTGAAAGTAGCCCAACCGGAGTTTGATGAAGAATTGAAGATTGAGGAAGAGTTGTTCTTTCTCTCTTCTTTGACCACCATACAACTCGGGTTTGCTCATATAATATACTATATACACAATTGGGAGAGTTGCCATTTATAAAGTTGTTCGAAGTTAAAGACTTGGTTAAAGTCAACTCTCGCGGAGACTTGAAGGAAATGGGAGAGAAGGAACATAATTTTGACCTCAACTTCTGAGGGTTAAAAATATTACAAGTGGATATGGATATAAATGATCACCAGTTGTAATAGCAGTATGTGAAGCCAGAATTTGTTTCTAGTTTGAGCACAAAAAACAAAAGATAGTAATTCTGCTCAACCTGAGCTAGATGAAAGGAAGGAAGATTTCTCCTGCTCCTTTTTTTTTTTTTTGAAATATATGCACATATATGGTTTTCACATCACTATTGAGTTAGCCATTCACCAAAGCAAGTAATCAATCAAAGTCAACTCCCGGGCGCCAATAAAATTGAAAGGAATAAAAGATAAGGAAACCTCAGAACTCCAATGCTAAAGGGCTAAAGTCAGCTCTATTTGCTAAAGTCTGCTCTACTGGGGTGGATACAAATGATATTACAATACAGGTAAAGAGACTAACTCCACTTTGCACTTCTGAAAACTTGTACCATTTTTTCATTTTGCACTTTAAATTTTAATTTTGGATACTTTACACCTAAACTCTTAAATTTATCCCATTTAAGTCCAACTATCATATAAATTTTTGGGACTTACACTTGGTGTGCGTGCATTTTTTTTTTTTTTTGGCTTTGAGCATCCAGTATCCCTACTCTTAGTGAGACTAATCCAGATTCGTCCTAAGGAGCGCCCACAGTGTCCAATTTTTACTCGAGGATGAAGGTCCGGTTCAGAATTTTTCAAGGTGCCACATGCAGAAGTCGTACTTGCGACCTCCAGTTGGCATTAACAATCCGCTTATCGGCTACTCCAAGCTCAAAGGTTACACTTGGTGTGTTTTGATAGCTTTGGTTTTTTTTTTTCTCACATTAATTGTTTAACAAAAATTAGTTAACTCTCTTGAAAAAATTAATTTAACCTAATATTTTTCTAAAATACCCTTATATTAATATTAGGAGTATCACTAATCACTATACCTTTACAATAATAACAACAACAATAATGATGGTATGTTAAAAATATTGTACCATTCAAGACATATACCAAAGCAACTATTGATGAAAAAGTTGAATGTATTAAATAAGGTAAGTTATATTTGCTGGTGACAAATATATTAAATAAAGGTATTTTAGAGAAGTTAAAAGTAACTATGTTCTTTAATTAAAATGTGGGCTATAATTTGAGACAAATGAAAAAAGAAAACAAAACTATCAAAATGAAACGGAATAAGTACTTTTGCTTATCCAAAAATATAAAGTTTCTTGTTTATACATGTATGAATCATGTCTTTTCTCCAACTCCTGTGGGGAAAAAAGTTCCTTTTAATCAAAATCTTGTGTATGTTTGTCATTTCCACTGCCACTTGTGGATCAACCAATAATTAGTGTTCGATGACTCATCTTTGTTGGGGCAAAAGCTGTTGTGTATGATTATTTCTAACCATGGCGATCGAGTGTTTATCTTTTAGTTCAGTCCATTGGAAGGTGGCTACAGACTGCAGCTGTTTCCTGCAGAAGATAAGAATAATAGGATCATCGCAAAAAGAACTTGAATTTCTGCAGGGGCCAAAAGGCTCTTTCGAGCAATCTGATCAAGTCTAAACAGGATCCTATAAACATAAGAGCTTGAATCTTGATTTGGCATGCTTAAGAAATAATTGGATTTGATTACCTCAATCCTGTTTTCCTAGTGACTCGGAAGTTAAAGGAATATTGCAGATGTTTGCCCAGTATTGAATCCTTAGCTTTTTTGGTCCCGCTCCCAAGATTGGCCTCATATTGATTATGTTAATCAAAGTATTTACATGATTCAATTCAGGTCAACCCTTGACAGCAATTTTAAGTTGTTTAAGCACAAGATAACATTGAAATTACGCAGCAAAAAGAAGACTGCATGTTTTTGTACATTTGCTCGAGAAATATATACAGAGTTGGTGCATCTAATTCTAACTTGTGAAAATACAAAAAGCCATCCTAAACTAATTGATTCATGAACCAGAAGATGTTTTATGTGCTAATAAACTTCAAAACAAGAAAGCAAAATCAGAATGATAAATTGTTTTGTGAACAAATTGACATTCTAAGCATCTACTCCAACTCCTTTCGCAACGATTTCTTTGAGGATTTAAACTAAAGCATAAATTAAATTTGATTAGCTACACCTTCACGCTATGGAGATTGTAAACAACATAGGCTATGTAACATTTAACAAATTAAACAAGCATCATGATAAGGCCGATCAAAGTTTGTAATGAAAACATGAGACACTGTACACTTTTATTGCACCACTGTTTATGCATACATCACTGAACAAGTTCCTGCTTGAGATTATTCAGAAGTATAAAATATCTTGCACCACCATTTTTCTTTCTTTTCTTTTTCCTGCACATTTATGCCTACAACACAGGATTGATTCCACCTCAAGATTATCAAATGATCACAATATCACATGCTTTCTGTCTTCCACAGTTTTTGACAAACCGGACTTCCTAGAGCAGACCAACAAGGCTTTCAAAAATGATCACATGCTTTCTATCTTTAATAGGTTATGACAAATCAGCCTAATCAGGCTTGCCAGAACAGACTAGCAAGGCTTCCAACACAAACACATGAAGTTAGACTTATAGGTGAATCTATAGAACTTGCTGCACCACTCATGGCTACATCATTGAACGAATTCGTCTCCAGATCATAAAGCACCAGCGTAGCCTTGCTAATTTGCAAAACCACTTGCTTCTTGTTCTTAGATAATGCTATAGGTGTTATCCATTTGCCAAAAGGGATTCTAATCGAGCCTAATTTAGTCCAACAAGATTCGTGAGCTCCATAATCCTCCATTAGAAAAATATCAGCAAACCTCTGATTCCAAAACTCATAATCAGAGAGCAAACAAAGGACACCATTCAAGATGCACAATTTTGGGAGGAAACGGTCTTCCCAGAAAGGACAGCGCATGGAACGAAATTTGTCACTGCAAAGGTCAAAAGCAAAGATAAAGTTCAGACCGCCAACCCAGTGCAATGCACCATTAGCCAGAATACCATCCATAGGGTCAGGGAACATGGTTGCCTGTTGAAATGGGAAATCACCGATATCTTTCCATAAATTTAGTTTTGAGCTATAAACATAAACTTTGTTACTGCAAAGAGTAATTGTTGGTGTTAGGTTTTGCATACAGTTCCAACCATTCTTGAAAGCCAGGACTTTGTAATCATCCCTGACATTGTCATAGCCAAAACCTAGACGGATTTGAACTTGGCTGTGGCCAATTGCATTTCCATACGGTGGAGGGGGTATCTTCCAATACTTTTGAGTCCATGGATTCCATATAAAAATGTTCCAATTCCTATGTACCAAACAAAGAAGGCCATTGCAAGAGCCTACCAAACGAATATCATCTCTAAAAGAATCAGCAGGAAAGTTGAGTTTTTTTGCATTTGTAGTACTGGAGCTAAAAAGTCGATTCATATCTAGAGAGTAGAAGTCTCTGCTTCTAGAGCCAGAAACTGGGGAAGACTTCTCCTCAATCAAGGCAACAATCTTAGTATCATTATGATCATAGTTTGTTTCGAGGTGGCTTTCGTTATACATTTTGATGAAGTGAGGACCATCAATTAAAGAACGCCATGATTTTGATACGCACCTGGATCGAATCAGAGAATCAAAGGGTAACCTCAAAAGCACATTCACAAGCAGTTGGTCAGGGATGTAGTCTGACATTTGACCAAATGGGATTAGTTCTGCTAAGTAAGCTGTGCCTTAATTGGTGGTTTGATTCGCTTCAGTGGGCCTCCAAGCTCAGTGCAGGACAGGATGTAATCAAAGCAACTCTATTTAACAGAATAAGACTGGATTGCAAATTTGACGGATTTTAACTGGAGTTTGGAGGACAAGAAGACTCAAATGAGGTAATTAAAGCCTATATTGGATGGAGTCTTGCCTCAACAGTTGACAAGAGCTTCAGTCGAAACTAAAGTTTGATGAATATTAAGGAAGGCATGTGATTCCTTTTCCACTTCGTTTTGACCAATATACTTATGGCTTTGTCCATAATACACATTTAAGTTGGCATTTATAAACTTGGCTGAAGCGAAGACTCGGTTAAGGTCAACTTGTGGAAGCAACTGAGCAATTAGGTAGAAGGAAGTAGAGAAAGACCATAACATTGACCTCAACTCCCGGGGCTTGAAACTGTTAAATTGAATTTTGATTTTAAAAAAAAAAACCACCAGCAGCTGTAGTTAATGGGTGCAGCCCAAGTCCTATATTATATAGTTGTGTTTCTTTATTATTGTTTTCGAAGGGGCATCAATAGTTGTTTCTGCCTAATGATCCTTTTATAACTTCAATTCTAATCACTCAATTACATGTAAATGTCTTACCAACTAAACTGAGTACCGTTGTCAATTTGTATATAACTGTGAAACATACGATTGTAGATGAAAAATAATGAAATCACGTAAACTATAAATTTAAAAATTGCTTGTATCTTGATGTAACCAAACTACGTACTTACCATCTTTCTTTATCACTTACCATAAAGGTAATAACAATATGATGGATAAAATGGGAATTCTAAATAGGATTTTCAGAACTTGTACAGCCTATCAGACTCAAGTCAACCGTTTATGACAACTAGGCTAACAAAACAAAGTGAAAAAACAAAAACTTTATATTCTTTGTCCCACAGGATTGGTCCAGTGATAGTAACGATTCTTTAGGACACAAAAGGTTCTGGAATCAAAATTGCTCCTTGAAGTACCCTGTGACTCACCAGAAAAAATGTTGTGTGAGACCGTGACATTTCCCTCCGATTTGGTGTGCCAGCTCAAGTCCAAAGGGCTCGAGTCGGAGTATATTTCGAATTACAAAAAAAGAAAAAAGGACTTTTTGGGCCAATCGTAGCACTTAATTATTTGCAAACTGCCCCCTCTTCTGTTTTGTCCGGTCAACTCTTATGATCACATTTGCAAGAATAGCTACAAAACTGATATATACTTCCTCCGTCTCATAAGAATAGATCAACACTTTCATTTTGTATTTATCCCAAATTATAGGTATATTTCTTTTCTAAAGCATAGTTGGTATATGGATTTACTACTATATCCATAGTCAATGTGCATTTGAATAAGTAAATATGCTATTCTATTAGTCAACCATTGTACTAGAAGGAATAAATAAGACACTAAAACAAGAATCAATAGAAAGGTATATAAGGAAAGTAATAAGCAAAAATGATTACATTAATTACCCTTCTTAACTTATATGAAAGTAGAAGTGAATCTATCTTTATGACGGAAGAAGTATATAAAATAGCAGTATTACTAAACTACAGGTCTAGGACTAGTATTTGTTCGGGCCACATCTTTTACAACCACTACTTGAATAATCAAGTTTGCTTGACAACTGTAGATGCAAGCCATTCTTAAATAAGCATGAAATCTTAGCTTTTTACTGGCTCCTAATAATCAGCTACTCTCAAGATGTTTCAAATTTACTTCTTAATAATTTTCACTCTCGTACATAACTACTTCGACATTAATTTAATATATTGTTTTAACAGAAGGTTCCTTGAGATTAAAATTACTAAACTGAGAACAAATCAATGGAAAAGATTATTGATTCATGACTCCAACAGTGGGATATTATTGTTTACAAGATCAGTTACAGCCAAGAAATCTTTGAGATTTAAAGCCCTTTTCCTTCCCCAGCTCCCTAATCTTCATTTACTTACTTTTACTCAATTATGACTCCAGCAAAATGATCTGGTACTTAATCATCAGCTACTTGAACCATTTTTTTCCCAACATTATCACCTCGAAAGTCCTGCAAAAGCTGATGGTATGCTTTCCACACCACGCGAAATGTCTTCAAGAACGTGGAACTTCCCACTCTGGAGGTGCTCAAGTGTGGTTGAAAGGAAGTCCTTATAAACTTTGAAGTGATCAGCAGCAAGAAATCCTTGAATTGTGATCCTCTTGTATATGACATCCACCATGTTTAAAGCTGCACGTTTTCCTTCATTCGTATACTCTGATATAACGCCGCAAACAGCCACTCTACCAAATGGGTTCATGTTTTCAATTGCTGCTTCTAACATTTCTGCTCCCACATTGTCAAAATATATGTCAATCCCACAAGGGGAGTGCCTATAGTATCATTGTTCAAAAATTAGCAAATGCTATCCCAAGTACATGACATCTTCACTTGCCAAAATGTTAGTCCCTATTTGATAGATTATCAAGTTGAAGTTCTAGTGAAATTCCAATGTGAAAGAGTTAAACAAATCACTCGAGTTCCTGAAATTCAATAGATGCAGTGGATTGAGTTACCTTTTAAGGGCTGACTTAAGATCAATTTCTTCTTTGTAGTTGAATGCTTCATCAAAACCAAGCTTCTCCTTGAGCAAGTCTACCTATAAATATTTCAAGGTAAAATAAAACATTATTCTTATGAAATAATTTCACTTTGTGACCTCAAACTTGTATATGATTCTCACTTTGCACCTAAACTCTCAAATGTATCCTTCTTAAGTCTAGTTGAAAACATTATTGTTAGCAGAATTAACAGAATAGAGGACCGTGAAAATTAATGACAAAAGGAAAGGAAATAAAACAAAGATATCATGAAGTCATCCAACCCTTTATCTAGGTCATAGGTCATTCCTAAGTACAGGTTTGATCTCAAATATTTTGCTCTAATGCTTACCATGTATTTCCTATTATGAGTAAACCAAACCCTCTTGACATAATCAATTGAAACAAACCTCACCAACAAAAAAGGGAAACACAAAAATCAGCACTGGAAGTAAATAATGTGTCCATTTGGAAATGGAAGGCTGACCTTTTTTGGCTACCAGCACAGCCTACGACATAGCACCCAAAGAGCTTGGCATACTGCCCAACTAAACTTCCCACAGATCTTGAGGCAGCAGAAGCAAACACTGTTTCCCCTTTCTGGGTTACACACTTCAAAAAGTCCAGCAAAAGCTGTTATCCCACTGAATCCTGCACAACAAAATTGAAAGAGTAGTTAATCTATTCAAATATCCTGATCCTACCCTGGAAAGACAATCTTAATCAGGCCGAAAATGCAGCATTATAACATGTTGATAACAATGGAAGTATGATATGAACTTACCTAGAAATCCTGCATGGTAAGAAAGTGGAAATCCCATGGTCTCCACCTTATTTAACTTAGCTCCTTTAAATTTGCTGGTACCCTCTTTTATGATGCTGTACTCCCCCCAGCTCAGGAACCCGGAAACCAAGTCCCCCTCTTTCAATTCAGGATTGCCAGAAGCGACAACTCTCCCCACACCATAACCATCAATTTCCTGTTAACAACAATTAATTGATTCTTGTGAGCATTACTCTGCATACATCTCTGAATAAATCTTCATTGCATCGTCATCAATCAACAAAAGTAGTTTGTAATTTGCAACATACCTCGCCAGGGTTGAGGGCACCTGCAATGTTGGTTGCTTGCTGAAAGCAACTTTGGCTCGTCATGCGGTTCAATTGGTATGGATCAATCGATAAGAAGAGATTTTTGACGATGACTTCATCTTTTCCGGGCTCAATTGATAAAGTAAGAGGTCCAGTTCTAAGCTCAAAGTCTGACTCCTGTGGTGCTCCATCAATAATATGTTTAATCACTACGTATCTGTTTGTTACTTCCATTGAGGTTTCTTGCAATCCTCAAAACTTCAAAATTCTGTGTGCATGAAAAAGAAAATTGTTCCTCCCACTCCAAGAGAAAGAATGAGGATTAGGAAAAAAAAAATATTTGTTTGAAAACTATTCAGTCGAAGAATAGTTAATGATGCACTGAATATATATACATGTATTCGACAGGATAAAAAGAAGTAAAACGGGCCTCTCCAGATGAATTTTGTCCATTGATTGTTATAATCCTAAAGACATTTGATGTAAACTTGTACAACTATGGTATAATTATGAATTTTACATTATTTAGTTGTCTGAGTTGACAAATTTTATGATTGTATTATATATTCTAAAAGTTACATCAATCAAATCGAATTGGATGAAACTCAACTAGAGAGGCCATGATCCAAAATTGGACGATACTTATTTTATGATTCAACAAATGTATCATTCTGCCATCTGTAATTAGTACAACTTTGAATTTTGAATTTTGAGTAACAATAACTGGTATGCTTGTGGATTTTAGAGATTTGTCAACATCTTATCCTAGTATATTCCTCAATTTTTTTTTTTTTTTTGCAATAATTTGATACACTACACTCACAAGTGCGATAGAATCAAACCAACTGTTCAATTCTTAATTTGGGAATCGAGGTGCTGCTCTGTCTCAATGGTTTTTTTTTTTTGGGATGTTTTATACAGACAAATATTACAATACCAATTTTGTGAATAAATAAGCACAAAAATAAAAATTGATTGAAAAATGTGATACGAAGACACTCCATTCAAATAGTACTTGTAGTGTAAACATTTTTTTAACAGCATTGTTATAGTTAGTCATATACTAGGAGAAAATAGAGGGGATGGACCTATTGAATCTACTGAGAGGCACAAAGAAAGTTAAATATTCTTCTACCATACTTCGATAAATTTTAAAGAGGAAACACAGTCAGAGGGATTTAATCCCTCTAGTCCCTCGTCTAATGGCCAATTGAACTAGCTCAGCTGGTTTAGCATGAACACTTGTAAGCATTTGTCTCCTAATAGTTGCCT